CTGTGCGAGAGGTACGGCTGGAGAGCGGGGGGGACGCCGGCGCCGCACGGGGAACGCGTGGCTACGCCGTGCACATCTCTGTCTGCGTGAGTAACTGAAAGGTCGACTGAAAATGAAACGAGCTGAAACGCTGGAGAGAGCAGGAAAAAAAGAGGACGCTGGACATTTTTTCTCTAAATCCCAAACCTCTCCCTCTAACACGTCCCTCACTCATGACACATCCAGCCAAAAGCTGACAAAAGGGAGCGACACCCTAGAATAAATATCCACGTGGCTGAATATCTAATTACGTTTCATACGGAGCTGTATACGTGTTGCATATACTGTACTTGGCTCGGGCCCCGGACTCACTCACACACACACACACACACACACACACACACACACACATTTATGTGCAGTATGAGGCCTTGAGCCCAGCTTAGAGCACTGACATCCTTTAGCACCTGCAATTGTTATTTTGGAGGTGGGGGGTGGACACCTCTGACATCAGGCCTTCCTGTGGCTCTGATGTCACTTCTACGTAGTTTGAGATAAAAAGGAGTCCAGTTCAATGCCCACCAGTGCCGTAAAGCCCTCTCTGCTTGAAGGTCTCTCCCGGCGTTGGCATTGTCTCTCTTCTGAAATCGTGCTTCCTGCCTTAGTTTGTCAGCCACCACGTGTAGTACCGGTTTCCTTTCACTGTGCGTTTTCACAATGAGACAAAAGCCTGGCACTTGACTGTGTGCCCACGTCAGCGGGGCACTGCTAAACTTAACCCTTAACCCCGCGGTCAAACGGAATAGATGTGGCAACCGCCAATATAGGGGCCCGTTCGTTCGGCGGTGACGCTCTCTGTGGCAGCTCAGACAGAGAGGGGAGGTATGCATGCTGAGTAACTGGGACAATGCAGGTGGTATGGAAACCGTCGCTGTTCCTCGTCTCAATAAACAGTTCTGGCGAACAATAAATCAGTCACTGTTATCCCTGGCTGATTTTGAAGTAGAAAATAATCAAATGAGTGCTTGTGCTGAAGTTTTCCACATTAGGGAATACTGTGGAATGCATTGGAGGCGCGATGTGTGTGTTTGCTTGAGGTTGCTGCGTCTGTGCGTGACGATAACAATGAGTCTCACCTCCGTCCCAGCAGCGCTGCGTGGCGCGCTTGTCGTCCGGCGGGGTGCAGGCGCAGTCGGCCCCGTCCGCCAGGCTTCCTTCCTCCTCGGCGATGTGCAGCTTGTCCTCGTCATCGGAGTCCGAGCCCGCCTCCACTGCATTGCCATAGTTAGTCACTGCACAGGGACACATGGGGGGACAGAGGTTAGGATGACTCTTTTATTTTGTATTAATCCTGAAAAGGAGATCGTTTGTGCGTATCAAGGATAAAAACAATAATGTAATATTGCCTGGGCTACTTGATTGTGAGCACCGACAGCCAAAGGCTGGAATGCAGGTGGAGTTAAACTTGTATCGTCATTTAAATGTTGAACTATTAAATGAAATGGGGGAGGGGGCGGGGTTAAGGGGCTGGGAACACCAATTTAACAGAGAAGTGGGTTGTTAAAGCAGGAGAGAATAAAACAGCTTGGGCACCAACAACAGAGCAGGGAGGAGGGGCTTCAAAAAGACCGCAGCCGATGATTCGGTGGCCTCAGTGAAGTAAAAGTATGTAACGTTTGAACAAAGATGAGAATCCAGAGTGAACACAAGCTCCGGAAACAACAATCCGTGTGGCCCTGGAAATAGACTCAGAACATTGCCACTTGCAGACAAGACATGCAGCACCGGTGTCTGAGATCATTAGATTGGAGGCTGAAGTGGTGGACTGGGAGTGTGTGTGGGGGTCGGTGTGACCTGGTCGGGTTTGTGTTATGGGCTAAAGGAGCCAGGAGACAGCCGGGCCCTCAGAGACCCTCATTCAGGGAATAAATCTCCCCGACCGCCGGCCAGCGTCAGATGCAAGTGTGTGTTCCCGTTCTTTTCATTTTCAGTTCCTTCCACCTCTCAATTCCACCTGTGTTACTTCCACCCACTCTCCTTCCAATTCAACCTCCACCCTCCACCCTCCACTCCCCCTCCATCCCTCTGTTCCACCGAGAGAGCTGCAGATCCTCTCGGAGGCCAAATCAATTCTCCGGTGAGAGCAGCCCAGTCAGCAGCAGGCTCGGGCTGCGGCACTGAAACTACCTTCCCAGCTACTTTATCTCACATCATACACAATATGCACACACACGCACAAACACACACACCTGCATTCACTTGCTGAATACGCACTGGCAGTACAAAGCTGAACATTCTTCTTCACTCACCCCAACCCCTCCCGCCCACTTCTTTCTGAAGTGCTGTATTTATTTATTTATTTTTCCCCTGCTTGTCAGGAGGAGGCGTATTGGGGAGCTTCATGATCCTCCGTTTCAATCAATGAAGATGTTTCTCTCCGCATCACTACTCACGCAAACTGGGCAGACATGCAGGGATCAGGCTGGGGGGGGGGTGAAAGGTGGCGGAGGAGGACTGTTATTTGGCGAGTCGTTCGCAGGGTCAACACCGCTGTGCCGCAGCTGCAAAATCCTATCGGGGCTCATCAGGGGAGTTTCATTCTCAACCTCTCGTCTTGTACCTCACTCCAAAATATCTCTTTTTTCCAATTTAATATGAAGGGTCTGCCACCAGATTGTAGTTTAAGATAGAAATGTTAAGGGGTGACGCACATCCTTTGACTGGCAATAGAACAATTGAAGACCTGGGAACATTGGTGATCGAATGGACTGATAACAAATTGAATTTAAATGCATTGTGGAACGGTATAAACCAGTCTCATGTAACCTCTCTCTCACCCCCTACCTCTCCCTTTTCTTCTAGAAACACCCTGCCAGGTGATGTATGGTCCACTTTGTTCTGAGAGGCTGTGCAGGCGGGGATCCACTCAGGTGTGGAGCTGAGGTGACGCTCTCCGTCTGCCGTGTGTCCCGAGGTGATGAGACAAAAAGCTGCAGAGTGAGAATCAATGCGCCGGTGGCTGCAGAGCGGAGGTGGTGGCCGCGGCCAGCGGGGCAATGAAAGCAGGGGGCCGCAGAGTGCGGTAAAGAGTGAAGGATTAGGACGTGTCCAACGAGGGGGAGGTGGACAGAGAAACAGTCTTCCTGTGCCAATTGGTCGGGGGTGTTTTGCGACAAGAATGTGTGCTCCGACAGAAGATGTAACACCTCGCACCAACAAAGGCTGCGGCCCCTTCTGGCTGAGCGGCTCGTCGTTTGGACAGCTGGCCTCATTAGCGCTAACATGCTAGCGCACAACAGGAGGACGACTCCTACGCCGCCGAGCACGAGAGAGAGAGAGAGAGAGAGAGAGAGAGAGAGCGCGCTGGTGGGTGAAGAGCGGACTTCTTAAAGTTTGGCATTGAACACCTTGTAAAATAAAAGCCTGTGGCCCGTGGCTTTGGCCACATATCACACCTCCACAGAGCCCTCCCACACACAAACACCGGGGGTCTGGGCGAGAGGGCAAAATACACACGAGGCAAACAGCTCAGATGTGACGCTTGATCTCAGGCCCCCCACGCGTCTTCTGAGCGGTGCAGTAGGGGGCCCCGAGGGACTGGATCTCTCCGCCCTCACCGTCACTCTTCAACCCTTTTGCAAAGTTCCCAGTCCAGTGGGAGACGCAGCAAGAAAGCCCATCTCAGCCACACTTTCATGTGCTGGCCCCCGAGGGAGGGGGGTTGTGTTATTATGACAGCTGCCAGGCTGGATCAATTACTGGCACAGGACCGGGTGACTGGGGTGGGATGCTCCCAAAATGCTGCCCCGTGAGAGAGGGATCACCTTGGCGGACTTATCGCTGTCCATCCGTTGGCACTGGGCTGGAGCGCCATGCGACCCCTGACTGGTTGGTGGCCCTGTGCTCCTCTGATTGATGAACAGGAAGACAATCGGCCGAGCAGATGGCTTGGTTGGTGAATTCATACACTGGGGGCGGGCCGGGTAGGAATGGCGCTATCTCAGCCTCTGTGGGAGTGAGCTATCTCCGAGGCCCATGGAGGTGTTAGTGACAGGCCTAATAACGGCGCTCTGGACGAGGGACACCGAGCAACACACACACAGTCCGTGAACAAAGACAGGCCCGTCCGCGGTGAGCTTTATCTTGATGCATCACCTGTAAGGACGTCTGTGAACCTCTACGTCTTGTGTGGGTGTGGGAGGTGAGTCTGGAATGCTCAACTAAAACAATTTTGCCAGTCTTGAAAAGACCGATCAAAGGGTGTGTGCTCTCCCCGCCGCTAATTTCAGCCAACCGACTGACATATATCGTGAGGTCTGCTGTACTTCTGGTTGGGATTAGACACACTGACTCATGGCAGACTGCAGCCACAGTTTTAGTCTGCCCCTTCATTCTACCTCTCTCCTCGTATCTATATTTAGCCTTGGTGCCGTCTCCCTTCTTTGGGAGTCACTTATCTCATTCAGAGCTCCAAACCACCGCAGACGTCCTCGAGGACGACAGAGCGTTCCGTCGTCACAAAGTCTGCCGCTGCGGCTCTGCAATGAAATATCTTTTTTCTCAGGGAAGCCAACCAATACAAAAAAGAAAAAAAAGGGAACGGCTCAAACCAAAGTAAAACAAAGCCGTGCCATTCAAAACCTCAAGTATGCCGTCTCAAGGTGAGGTGCCTCATTCGGCGCTGAGGTAAACGCTGCTGGTCTTGTTAAAACAACAGCCTTCCTCCCACTAAGTCAGGAAGGTCAGCTCAAGTGCCTAAAACAAAACAAAGGAATTGGGATTTTTTTTCTTCCCTTGTGGCTGCCTCAAACTTGCAAGCTCGGCCCTTTTGGGTCAGCCGAAGACAAGTCGGCTCCGGCAGTTGTTACACAGACATTACTGTGCCGTATCCCCTCAGTCAGTTAGATGCTGAGGGCACTAGGGGTCCCAAGAGACCTCACCTCCCTACCAGCGAGTCTACCAACCACACCGCATCACACCCTGAGCGGCATCTCCATGGATACACAACATTTAGGCCCCAAAAAGTCCCCTAACGACATCGAATGACTATTACTCATCGTTCCAAGTTTGACTTGGGAGGGGCAGAAAGCAGAAGCACTAGAATAACAAAAAATAGCACCGGGCAGTCCTGAGAATTAGTCACTTTTGATGCGCTTCTGGATCGGCCTGGGCCGCATAACTACTAAATGTTCCACCAAATAACAACACAGATGAGCGGTTGAGATTATTCCAAAGCGCTTAGACCACATTTGGAGCAGCGCTCTTCATGTGGATCATTTCCGAGGTGAGCCGGAGACAATGGGCTCTTGTCTTCCTAATGACGCTGATCAAGGTTTTAGCACGTGAGCTAATGGGCCTCTGCGGGTCACTCATCCACCCCGTCTGATGAGCACTTTCCACCATAACACTAATGCTAATGCCGTCCATTGTTCTCTTAACCCTCGGAATGACACTTCCTAGTGTTAAAGGAAGTCAGCATTTGGCAATTAGCATTAGGAAAAGAAGAAATCAACAACAACAACAAAAGGACTTAACTGCACCTCAAAGTAGGGTTGGTATCATACCATAATTATGACTTTGATATACCATAAATATCACAATACCCAATACTTACTTACTTACAAATATAATTACAGTACATTACATGTCATTTATCCAAAGTGACTTACAATAAGTGCATTTCAACCATAAGGATACAAACTCAAAAGAACAAGAAACAACAAAGTGCAATTTCATCAAATAGGCCAATTTACAACTTGCTATAGCCATCATAAGTACAATTGAAGTGCTACAATTTGTTTTGTGTTTTTAGTCAAGGTGTAGACTGAAGATATGTGTCTTTAGTTTGCGACAGAAGAGAGAGCTCATTCTACCATTTAAGAGTCTGGTTGATCTTGTGGAGTGTGTTGCTCTCAGTGAGGGAGGAACCAGCAGTTTGGCAGATGCAGAGCAGAGAACCAGATACCAGAATTGTATGCAATACCACAAATTCAATATTAGACTGGTACTTTATATATTTATAAGTTCATACATAAAACATGTATGGTTCCCTTTTTTACCAGCTTGTTCCTGCCCAGCTTTTTGAAAGAAATGGTATTAGTATTAGCTTACAGCAAGATATCAATGAAAACTATAGTGCCATCGTAGCATTTATTTATACACAACTTTGTACTCCCACATTTCACTTTTTTTCCAGTAAACCGAGGACTGTTGACAAGGGCTTGTGCACTTGAGGCCATGGCCCAATCCCAATCTCCCCCCCAAACCCTAACCGTGAACCCTCAGGGACTTA